AAAGAGGAGGAACTTGTTATAATCTACCATATTGAAACTGCAAAATTCACACCAACCTTCTGGACAACTTTACTCTTAGAAAAAGCACCCAAAGCCCCAGAAAACTATTCCCAGAAACCCTGGTCATACTTATACCCAAAGCCATAGGAACTGTACTGTAAGATGGACCATCATACACAGCAAAACATGCTTTCCAGCCTCTCCACCCCACTGCGACTCTCCCCCAGTGTGTTAATGGGATGCAGCACATCCATCCTGCAGCAGGGCAGGGACTAGAGGCAGTGGGAAAGCAGCCAGTTCCTTCACTTTGCTGGGCTGATGGAGAGGCGGCAGACCAGAGCAGCAGGGCAGAGCTGCGGGTTGCTCCCTGTGCTTTCACATCCTGCAGATCTGGTGCCAACAGTCCGAGCACCGCGGGGTCAAAGCCTTAATCAAGTTTCAGTAGCACCACGCTTAAAAATCGCCAGCACCTTGGCCGCGCACAACACCTCCACTAGCAAAGAGAAGCTGAAAATTGCCTTGGGAGGACAACAGCCACTGACACAAACGTGCCCTTCATCTTCTACATTAAGAGGAGACCCTGGGTGAGGAGGAAAGATATGTCTTTTTGACTGATCGGTTAACCTAAGGCCACATTGCAGTTGAAAGGGCCACCGAATGGAGGTCGTGGGCCTACGCCTGCGGATCCGGCTGAAAAGCACAATGATGTGATCACTAACAGTGGTACGATGAGTGGGCATGAATGCGAGTCTGGGGACAGAACTGTCACTTTTGGGAGCAGCAATGTTAACTTTCCTATGAGACTTAATAGCCAGCTTTGAAGAACAGACTGCCTACGCCAGGGGATTGAGAAAAATCCCCAATGTTCTGCAGCTGGAGGCTTGATCACAGACAGTGCATGTCTGTATTGGCTTAGGGTCTTCTCTGTCTGGCATGGGTGGTGCATTTTTGGTGTTTTGCTGAAAAGATCTTTTGAAGGAGCAGGAAGGCGGCCCTTGTTATCCAAAAAAGTGCTCAGATGTCCACAAGCAAGGTGATCCCAAGGCTTTAACGCGATGCGCCACTGCAAATAAAGACAGTCCCCGTTCCTATGCGCCTGTCCCTGGGCCAGGCTGGCATGGCACGAGAAGGAAAAGGCATCTGGGATGGATGGGTTTTTCTGGTGGCAGTTCTGGCTTAGAAGCCAGTGCCATTAGGGCCTAAACACACTTTTGCTTTCGGTTTAAGCTGATTCATCCTGCAGGCGTTCCCAAGGAACAGTCCCTCCCTTACATTAGCTGTGATTATACAAATAAGTTGTGTGGCCACGTGGCTAATCAGGCCAAAAAAACTAATCAGGGCAAGTTTCCAGCTGGAACAACAGCAAGTTAGATAATCAAACTGGAAACCCAACTATCACTTGTGCTGAGACAAGAACGGCGGCGCTCCTTGAGGGCAACCTTAGATCAGCCAAAGCTGCTCACGAAACCCTGCCCTCAGCAAACAGTGCATGAGAGGTCATGGCCCAAATGGTGCTGGGGGCCAGAGCTGACGATGCCAGGGTTTGCACAGAGCCAGAGGCAAGATCATGACCACGTGCACAGCCGGCGAAGATGTCTTCCTTAATCCACGTAATCCTTTATTTCAAGGACTGGCAGTGTGAGCAAGAAGGACGTTTACCTCTGCCTGTTCAACCGAAGCTGAGAACTAACTGGAGGATCGCCTTAAAAGGAGTCATACTCCAAGGTCTGTACCCCATTCCTCATTTTTCAAGCCACCCACCTTTCCCAATGATGAGATAGGATCACTCCAGCAAGAGGCACAAAGGAGCTCTGCTGTGCTGACAGCAGAGCACATCACTAATCTAGGCAACAGAAATGTTCCACAATGACAGACTCGGGAAGTCTGGCTGTTAGATGCCTTTTAAAGGATGTGAAACGTTTTCCGCCTCATTACGGTTCTCTCCAGAGAAGGACAGCAGCAGATTTACTGGATGGAGCGTGCCCACTAGCCCTGCTCATGCACTTTGGGACACGCATGGGAAAGAGATTGCATAGCCCCTGGGCTCCCCTTATCATCCCTGGAGCTGCATGAAGCCCTAGCACAAAAAACTCCTACTGGCACACGCTGCACCCTTGTCTTACCTGGGTGAGATAGTAAACATGGGTGTGAGGCACTGTGTAGAGGGTATTGACAGCCCCTCGGAAGGTATAGATCTGCTGGTGAGGGTCTCCTACAAGGATTACGCCGCACGGCTGTGACAGCACGATGTCCACAATGGCTGCAGGAAAACATCAGAGCGTTATGGGGGAGCCTGCTCATAAACCAAGCGTGAACTTTGCATTATAAAGGGGACAGTGCAAGTCTGACACAAGGCCTTTAACAGCACACAAAGGCACGCAGTTATTAGAGCAGAGAGATGCTTTTGTGGATGAAGAATTTAGCCAGTGCCTAGGACAGAAGGCTCAAACCCCAGCCTTATAACAGAACTCTTGCATGAGGACTCATGCCATTTAAGACGGGGCTGACACAGCTGCAGGAGAAAGCAAGTGGAGGAGAAGGAAAGAGCTCTACAAACACTCTCCCGTTATTTTAGTCTGCCAGTATTCCTGAACTTCCTGGCGCTGCACAGCATCTTCACTGACACGCCTGAGTCCAGCACAAATTCACCACCCACCCCCAGCGATCTGGATGCGCTGTACATGTGCACACTGACTCACTGCACATCCCAAAAAGCCCTGCAGTCTACTGTGATCAGCCTGCCCAATGTTCAGTCGCTCTGGCGGAGCAACTTGCTTGCCTCACACAGAGCTGCAAAAGCGCAGCCATATCCTTGCAAGCCCGGGTCTCCAGTAAGCACGGTGGGAGATGGTCTGACGAACTGATTTAATAGCTGCTGAAAAGACTGGGCCTTCTTCTGCCCCCCTTCCTTTGTTCCCAGGCAGTCCACCTCCCTTGCACAGTTCTAGCGCTTATCGCATCCCCTCGGCAGAGCCAATTCAGCTTGTTTTGCAGCAGAGCTATTCCCCATATCCCTGACAAAGAAAACAAATAGTTTTCTGCCAGGTGACTCAGGTCACCCAGGGTGGTGAAAGGAACAGGCAAGACCCGCATGCTGTGCCGGGGACAGAGCAGCTCAGCACTTCTGATAGCGCAACCATTTAAAGTCTCGCTGCTATTTCATCAAATCACATCCTCAGCTATGCTGGTGTTCTGTTTTTCCCTATTAGCAGCAAAGCAATAGCAAAAGGGTCTCTATGGCACAGCTGGACGTGCAAAGCAACAGAATTAAGAGTGCTCCCAGTAGCTACTGCCCCTCAGCTGATGCACACGTGCTCCTGTAGCCTGTTGCTACGCAAACTGCCTTATCGAATTTGCAAGGATCCAGGACCAAGCTCAGGTTCAGTTACGATGTTACAGCTGAGGGGCAACATGTGAGCATCCTCTTTTTAAAGTGCTTAGGAAGGATGTGGCTCTGTCTCCTGTCACCGCTCACCTGGAGTGCAATCCTGTGCTTCATCGACAAAAATGGCATCGTATCCTGTGAGCTGAGGCTTGCTGAGCTGCCAAAGTTTCAAATATCCTGAGAGAGAAAACAAGGCGTATCAGCCACAGGATCAGAGTTTTCTTGTCATAGAACACCAGGACCGTAAAAACTAATCTCTTCTTAAGAAAAAAAGCTGTTTCTGGCCCTACTCCTTGCTTGGAAGTTCCATGATATTAGGGAAGGTTGCAACTCCCTATTGCTCCCGCACGTTGCGAACAACCCCTCCAGCCTTTGTGCCTGTTTTGAACTCCCTGGTGAACCAGTGCAGGTGCACAGGTGTTTTATACTTTTTGAAGCTCATTCCTCGTACACAGTCAAAAGTAAGAAGCGTGAAATGCCAAAAGCTGTATCGGTTTGATCTTCTATTATTGCTCTTTAGCTGCAGGCGACTTGACATCTGTATGCTCTTACCATCACATGTTATCTTGTAATTCTTCTCTACGTCTCCATCCAGCTTCTTCATATTGTGCCATATCTCTTTTGCCTCTTGAACATTGATCTAGAAAGCAAAACCGAAACAGCCTGTATAGGTTGCTTTGAAAAACAGTTCAGGCACAGCAGATCTTGAAGTCCTAGCATAGCTGGTACTGGGCAGGCAATGAGTCAGCAGTGTTTAAATGTAATACTCTTCCTTTGGCTACCTTCCCAAATTCCCTCCCTCCTTCCAAGCAACTCCTTGACTAGATTTGAGCTTTTCACACTGGCTTAAAGGTAACCTGTCCAAATCCAGACAGACCAGTTAACTTCCCCCTCACCCCGCCCCAAACACAGTCTTTTCCAACTGCAGCCCCCTGAAAAGAACATTTCTCTGGCCCAGCTAATAGAAGAGTATAGTACCCTGACTTCTGCTGGCTAACACAGACTTTGTGCTTATTTTGGCTTCTCTGGTGAGCTTGTCAGCTGCAAAAGTACTTAATACTTTGAGGATGTAAATTAATTCCCTGCTGGAAATAACACCTGCAAAACAGATTCCCGTCAGCTGGACTGGATCTGATCAGATGTGATCAATGCAGAGCAGAAAGGCTAATTTTCCCCACGGCTCCAACCCACATTGTCTGCAATGTCAGTGCTGTCCTGTAAGAGCTGCTAAGATGTTTGTACTCCAGTTAAGAAACTTTGGGTTCAGCTCTGCCTATCGGAATGACTACAAAAAAAAAAAGATTAACGTCTTTATACATTATATCACATTGCCTTTCAGGCCCTGATAAAAATACACACAAGCTCTTCCTTCTTTTCACTGCAGGCGAGAAATATATGCACAGGGTGGAGCCTGCTCTATCCTCCTCTCTATGAATCCGTTGTACAAGCAGCAGGCGTAATCAGGCCCCAGTTCCTTTGCATTTGTCACTGGAGGAAAAATGCGTTTTGAGAGTTAGTTCTTATTGCTGAAGCACAAATACCTGTGAACCACGAGAAACGGGATGAATATAGCCCCTATTCTAAACCTTCCAGCTCAAGTCTTGCTTAATCATGGATACTTACTTTCTTTTCTTCTTGGCTAACAGCATCCCTCATGCCATGCGTATTTTTGAACCAAATAGGAGTGTGCTCTTCAGAGATCTCTTCATCTGAAGAGGCAAAAAAGTTTTCAAGGGTCTGTGTGACTGTTTTGCCTCTTACGAACAGAGATTGTCCTTTGCGATTCTGGAGAAGGAAACTCACTGAGTAAGCTGACAGCTTGGAGAAGTTTAGCTTGCCTTTTTCTTTATAGCTGTGTCACAGATGACAAAAAATAATAAAGAGAAAAGTTGAAATACACATGAAAAGCCTGCTGGAAAAGCAGTCTCGTTTTTGCTTCTGTTACTCACTAACACTCAAAGAAGCTCTATTTTATACACCCTCCTGCCTTTGACCTCGTAAAGGAGTATCTTAAAATTCTGAACGTATTTATCTTCATTACATTTCTGGGGGAAGCAAAAGCTTTTATCCCCATTTCACAGATGAAAAGTTAAGCCAGAGTGACATACACATTGTTCAACCCTGCAATTACACGTTGTTTTCAGCACCAGGTAAGAGGATTCCCTCCTCTTCCACGCCGTGGCTCGTTTTCCCGTAGATGTGCCAACATAGTTGTTGGGGATGCCAGGAACTGAATCACTAGAATAACCTAGGTTAAGAAGACCCCTCCCTCTGCTAAAAAAAACCAGAAATGATGCAATTTAGACTTCAGCTGTGTGAATGGCTGTACCACTGAAGTGCACAGCAACCAAGTTTGGGCAGAAATGGGAACTCAGTGGCTTTCCGTCTCCCACCCTTCTTCCTTTCACAGGGCACTTAGCTACAAATGCAGGCTGGATGAACAGCCCCCAAAACAGCTGTGTGACTTATTTCAGCACAGTTTATGCCAGGGAAGGAATAGAGTCTGTTTTCCAAGTGCCACATGGATACTAAAATCACTGGCCCATTCTAGCTGAGAGAACAGAGAAACTGCAAATTACAGTCCAGCTTAAAACAGGTGAAAGAAATTAAGTGTTTTCCTTATCATTTTTTGCTTCCTCAAATCCTGGAAGCTTATTTCAAAAACCCGACGTTCCTTTCCTTCCATGCCTTTTCCGTGCTCCACTGGCCTTGAATGAGGAAATTTAAAGATCCCCACTCACAGTTTGCCGACGCTTCCAAATGCTAGCGAATGGAAAGTCTTGCACGTGACGTTTTGGGGAAAGACACGTTTTCCTCTCTCTGCAACAGCTTTGTTAAATGTCACATAAAGGAAGTTGAGGTTAGCAAACTTCTCCGCATACTTGATCAAAGTTGAGGTCTTTCCTGTACCTGAAGAACAGATGGGAGTCAATAAAAAGCATTCGTAGTCAGGAACGGACGAACCTGCACACCTCTTACCAGCCTTACCTTCCCCTTCACTGCTGTCCCAACCGCACAGCAGGATTATTTGCGGCTAAGGGGCATTTATTCACAGATGCTACTGAAACCAGTAGAAGTGAAGCAGCTCTGAAAAATTAATATTTGTAGCCAAAAAGCTTTATTAAAAAATCACTTTATCACCCACTATTCCAGATGCCTGAGTGCATGTAAAGGTACTGGTTCCCCGAGAGATAGCTTGGCAAGTGGAAAGTTAAAATTGCTATTCTGAATGCTTCATGAGCTCATTTCCTCGTAAGATCTCCCACTAATGCTGCTCTCCATTACTCTAGCTTGCTGCAAGATGCCATTACCCACACCTCATGGCACAGGTGCCTCACGGGTTTGCGTAATACCAGTCATGACAGAAACTGGACACAAAAAGGCTCTGCACATTTCCTTATCTGCTCCTTTTTTTTTTTTTTACACTGAATGATGAAATAGTGCCAGCAAACTATCTCACCTTGCTGTTCACACTTTCCCCAGGTTACTGCTGAATGTTGGACAAAGCGGGTCCCAGCACAGATCTCTGTAGGACTTGAGTAGGGACCAGTCTCTACCATGAAAAACTAACCATTTGCTCCTACTTTTGTTTCTTATCTTCTAACCAATTATTTACTCCTTACAATTTAATTTATTTACCCATAAATTTACCCTTATTTACCCATAAAGGGTTGCTTGCCATTCCCCCTTACACCCTTATACTTCAGCAGCTAAGTTTCTGTAAGAGCTTTTAGTGAGTTTGAGTGACAATTCAAACAGACTGTATCAACTAGACCTCCCTCGGGCTCGTGCTTACTTGACAAAATCCTAACAGATTTAAAAGGCACAGGACCCCCTTTTCAAATCTGATGTTATCTTTCCCAGGAGATCAGATTTATTCATGTCCAGTTATTCACTAATTCTATCCTTTAGTATAGCTTTTACCGATTTGCCTGATACAGATCCTGGACTCACTGGACAGTTTCTTCCCACGTCTCCTGATAACCCTTAAAAAATGACATCCCATTACCACCTTCCCATCTTCTACAGCCATGGCAATTTTAAGCAAGAGGTCAGATACTGGTTCAGCTGCTTCACACTTGAGTTCCCTTTCATCTCTTGAGTGATGCAGCCCAGGTCATGAAATGAATAGTACCAAAGCATATTTCATCCATAACCTTTTCCACATAAATTTGAGACTGATCCTCTGGTGGACCCCCTATAGAGAAGGACCCTGAGATGGGTCCTTTGCAAGATCTTCCATGAGGAACACAGATGTGGAAACACATTTCGTTTCTCTGCTATGGCTTTATTCACTTTAAGACATCATTTATATTGCAAGTAAGTAACTGATCCAACAGACGTTTCGGGAAGCAACCTCCTCCACATGTTTGAAGGTTTGAGGTTTATGAGGCTTTTACACTTTCTGCCAGCAGCTCCTCAAACTCTTTTTCTGCCCTGCCTTATTGTGGTTACGAGTAACCTTATCACAGTTAATGAATATTTTCATTTTCATCATTTGGACATAGTGACTTTTTACAGATATAAGAAGCCACCACCAGTGGCCTCTGCACTGTGCTGCTTAGCCACACGTGTCCTGTGGTCTTTTGCAAGCCTGCTCTGACAGATGGCCTGCGTTAGCTCTGAGCCTCCAGTGTTGTGTCTTTAAAGGAAACTCTCTGCAGGTGTAGGGAGATGATTTCCTTTTCCTTTTCTTTTTAAATAGGCTTCCTCAACTTCATGCAATTCCCCTTTCCAAAACAGAGCACAAATGCAGATTTCTTGGCTTGCTTTGCTCCTACAAGGATGCCAAGTCTAAACAAATAAGAGCAACTCTGTCTAGTTGCTTCTGGACAGTAACCCTGCAAAACTGGTCCAGCACAAGGCTAAGCAACACACGGAGAGTCGCCTCCCTGCTGCTGGGTTCCCTGACGAGCTGCTCTGGGAAGTCACTGACAGCGCCCAAACATTCGGTTTCAGCATCGTGCCCCAACATGACATTGATCCTGCTGCTGTGCTCCTTGTTTCTGTTTCTCTGCAAAAGCTTGCTTTGATTTTTTGTATTGATTAAAAGTAAAGTTGATCCCCTGGCATCCACAGAACTCCTCAGACAGAAGAAGCAGGGAGGGAAGGAACAGAGTTAGAGCTTATGCAGTTACTCTCCTAGTATCATTTGTGGCTTTCTTACCTGCAAATGCCATAATTTTCACTATTTGACCACGCTCAATTTTGTGATTCAAAATCCTTTGCTGTTCATGTGTCAGCTTTATTTCAGGCCAATTTCTAAAAACAAAAAACAGAGAGAAAGGAATTAAGAAAAAAAAAAATCCTCCCACATACTCAAACAAGCTAACAGCAGAAGGAAACCAAGGAACGATGGGTCCTACTCCACAAGCAGGAAGGTAGCACTGGAGCAACCTGGTAACTGTACAAATGAGAAAACCAGCAACTTCCAGGGAGTAAGAATAGATTGGAGATGGCAAAATAAAAGGTGCAGCCTGGAGGAAGGTCACATAGGAAAAGAGCTTCTCAAGGGTCCTAAGCCGTGTTTGCAAAATTAATTCGGCACCCAGAAGCCTTATGCTCATTGAAAACAAAGAGGACCTAAGGTTTAGGGTATTTTGTTGCTTTTGAAAGCATGAACCTTAAATTGCTCTCTGATCTCCCACTGTGTAGGACAGACCAGTTATCCCTGCATCACAGGGGAGCTGAGACCAGTTATCCCTGCATCACAGGGGAGCTGAGAGCTTTGATTAACATTTAGAAAAGCATTTGGTGCTTCAGGCTGCAGTGCAATTGTTTTATTAATAAACGTCTGAAGCCTGTAATCAGCCAGCAGTGCCAACCATCTCTTTTCACAGAGTCCTCCCTGATGTGCTCCATGAGGGCAGAAAGCCTTGTTTAAGTATCCTTGACATTTCACAGCTGGCAGTTAGATGGCTGCTGCCAGAACATGCCTTTTCCTGAACAAGCAAACTCCGCTTAAAAGGAGTATTGAAATGGAAGGCGTAGAACAAAAGGAGTGGGAACCCACTAAGAGGTGAAACCCAGCATCTGTTTACCTTTGATTTTTTTAATTGCCTCTATTGCTGTTGTACCTCTGATCATCAGTGATTTTACTGGATTGAGCCGTGCTACACCTCTGAGGGAAGAAAGCGCGGAAATGCTATTCCCGTTTTGTAGATAAGGACACAGAGACTAAATGACTCAACCCAGGGTAGCTGCAGCAGAAGTGAAACCAAGCCGGATCTCCCATAAGCCAGGGAAGTGTTTTGACTCAACTGCCCTTCCTTTACAATGGCTAACTACCTACCAATGTTAATTTATGAGAATGGTGACAAAGGAATCCAGAACACAGGAACCAAATCAACATCCTGAGGCTGGTATATTGTTTTCTCTCATGCACAAAAGCAGTGCTTGTAAATGAACTACCATATTTTTTGCACTACAGTAACATCAGCAGCAATCCAGCCCCAATTTCAGCTGAAAGCAACTGCGACATACTCATGTCTAGAGGAAAACACTGTTTAAATTTGAGCAGGAACTCTCCCCTTCTTCTAAAGCTTCTCTTCCATAGGGAGGGTGGGATCAGTGATGTGAGCAGGTGTTCTAGCTCTGTGAAATTTCAGCAGCTAGCACACCAGAGTGCACAGAACTGTCTTCCACCAATAAATAGTAAATAGTCACATCAGTGAATGAAGACCTCTAAATTCAGTCAGTGGAAGTAAATAATGTCAACGCATTTAAGGCCTGATTCTGTTTTCCTCAGAGCATTCAGGCAGAAGATGACAAACAGCTGAATAAAGTTTTGTACTAGTCCTTATGAAACTTTGAATCTTGTCAACTAGGCCTCGCCAGGAAACGTTTGCTCCAGAGTCAGCGCTGCACTAGGGACCTGTGCGCTTATGCACATTGCTCAGCTCCGCTCTAAAGGCATTACCCGGACCAGAGATCTTGTCTGTAGCGTGAAGCAGATGTTTCCTCTTCTACTGTCTCTGTAGTTACAGAATCATTTTCCATCAGATACAAACAGTAGAAAACATTGTAATGAATCCTAGTAGAAAGGACAAAAGAGAATTTATCACTGACAAAACAACAAAAACACACTAAACTTCTGAAGCCATCTAAAAGACTTCTGATATGTTTAATACTTCCAAAGGAGCTATGTACAAAGCGCATGCAAAGCCATCTTTTCCAGCAAGATGCCTCTATCTGGACTAGGGCACCCCAACTCTTCTGTGAAGGGGACAAAACTGCCTGTGCAACAAGCCAAGACAATGAACCCAGCAAGGCAAAAGCTCCAAAACACTGAGGGCTGCAGCCAGGCAAGAGCTTTTGTGTCGAAACTCAGGAGAAATTTTCGTGTTCGCGCCGTGAAACACTGAGGACATTACGGTGCATCAGGCGCAAAGATGAAGCCATCGGAGACAACGCTGGAACAGACCACAGCAGGCAGGCTCCAGCGAGCGCTTAGCGAGTTGCAAATGACAACATTAATATTTCAACGTGCAGTTAGTTAGACTTTGAGAAGTGACTGCAAAGGCCGCATGGGGAGAGCTCTGCGTTTGTGGCCTCTCTCTCATTCCTGCTCAGGCTTGCTAAGTCTATGCACGAGATGTTGCCTAACGGTCTGCTGTGCAAATATGCCCTGGGATTAGAGCCCACAGGATCCTTCTGCTCTCCTGGACCACGATCAGCAACAGAGAGCCCGGGGGGGCCGGGGGAGCCTCAGAGAGAATCTGGGGCTCGTTTAGGCCTCGGAGGTAAATCAGTTTCAGCAACTGCCTCACAATTAATTTATACAAGTGTGTTAGCCCTGACAATACCACTTCAGGGTGTTTTGTCACTGTGTGCTGAGGAGCACAGTGACTCTGCAGCTTTACCCAACACCAGCAACAGCTGGTTTAAAATTAACCTCCCTCCAAATTCGCCGTTGTACGGTAGGGCTGACATCGTTGTGGTTTCACCACTTTTAATACAGCTTTGTTCCTGTGACCTAACAGCTGCCACCCTGGGCCAGACTCAAGGTCTGTACTGCCCAGGCAGACTTCCTATCTCACGCGAGGTGACTTGCACACTCGCTCACTAGTTGCACTAGCAGCTGCAGAGAGGTACCAGACAGTTCCTTAAGGGGCATCTTTCCTCCTTGTGCTTTATATCACAACCTTGTGTGGTTTGAGGAGATAACAGCAGAAAAGACACACGGTCATTCCTACTTCTTCTAGTCTAGATTGTTCAAGGAGATGCAGATGGCACATGAGTGACTTTTACACCGACTTGTACATTGCTAGTGAGCCGCACCCTTTGTCTGCCAGGTCCTCAGCAGTCATTTACTCAAGTTAGTGATCTTCACCAGTGATTATCAGTCACTAACAGTTCAAACAATCATCCTGGTTTCCCTCGTTTGCAGCCTGAGCAGAAGGGCCCACGGCACAGAGGATGAACTCTTCTCCGGTGTCTAATACAGGCTGGACTATACGTCACAGAGGGCAGCTTACAGAACTGTCATCTTTCTGTCTACAGATTCATTTTCCAGTGCAGTTCCTTTTCAGTCTTTCTGTAAGAAGGGTTTCTGTGTGTCCTTAATCCTTATTTCATCCTCACTACAATTCTGAAGCCACATGTGGGCTCTTACCAGCGTTACCAGGCGTCTCTGTGAACAAAAGGTGCCGGATGGTTCGCTCCGCACACGCAACGAGCGCCCAGGGGACTTGCAGCATCATTTAAGAGGAGGAGTGAAGTGCCAAACCAGTGTCAGGAAGGTAATTACTGTTTCTACTGCTATGTCTGTATTTCTAATCAAAATGTTTCTATAGTAGCTTTCAAACCTCTATTTCAAAGATTCCTGCTTTTATTTCTGAAAAAAAATCCTCCTTTTTCTTAAACACTACCTCCCGAAAAAACAAGCAGATTACAAAACAGTACAGGAATCAAAGCAAATCTAAAGGGAATGTTCCTGCAGTTTATCTTCCCAACTGCCAGGAATACAATATTCGAAACTCCCATTGGAGCTGGTCCACAGAGCTGGAAACATTTGTTTTATACCATTACTTTCTAGAACATAACATCACAGAAAGGCTCTCCATAACTAGGACTGGACTCAACTCACAGCTGCGTCAGATTAAGTTCCTCTGAGCACAGAACTGCTGCTCTCACAGTTTGTTCAGTGCCACACATTCCTCCAGGATATGTGCACAAAAGAAAACAAGTTACCCAGATGTTACATACACTGATTTGTTAGTTTTCATCACTGCAGAACCCTAGAGAGGTGCACACTGCTCCTGACGAACTGCACGCAGCAAGGAATCGCAGAGCCCTAACCGACAGGAACGTAAACGCTCATGACTATGTATACACTGTATATATTACATACAGCCAGGCCCAGAAAGAGACAGTTGGGCATGACGCACCTCCCTGCTCCTTACCTGTTAGTGATGGCAACATCCCTCTCTCTCATCGCATACAGCAGCGTGGCTATGCAGTAAAGCGTCTCGGTCACGTCCACAGCGGAGAGGGTAGAGCTCGGTCTCCACAGACGCGCCATCAGCTTCTGGATGTCACGGACGCCGTCAGAGAAAAGCACCATGGCTGCGACTATCGCCCACATGTTCTCAGGCTGGTATCGGCAACGAGAAGAAGGACTGAGCCAGGCCTCCCAGCCTGGAGCCTTTAGAAGCAGGGAAACCCCCCAAACAACACTTTGCACAAAGACATACGCCACGATCAATTCTGTTCAAATTCTGTTCAGTCCACCCCGAATAGTTTTGAATAACACCCCACAGGGAAAACTTTTAGATATGAGAGGGCAGATATGTCCTCAAAATACCAGCAGCTGTTGGAAAGGAAGGAGAGGCGTTAACTGCTTAAACTTACCCCCGTACTGCTCTGTAAATGCGGCAGTTTGTTGGCGATGCAGATTACAGCTTTCGGAAAGAGGTGGTGACTCTTCAGACACTGGAGAACCGCACTGGGATCTACCTTCTGGCTGGTGTGTATGGCAGACACGCACCTGTGCAGAACGGCAACAGCGGCATGTGCAAATGAGCCTTATTAAGCGAGTTTACTCTCTTGAGTAAATAACGCCCTCTTCAAAAGCAGAACACTACTAGTTTTTAAGCAACTGTGGATTCCTCTTGCAGCTGTTCACATCCAAGCTCTTTACCTCAGCTGTGTAACTACAACCTTGCTGTGCACCACCCATGTTTGGAAACGTTGAGTGGGGAAGCTGCAAAGTGCTGAACTTTGATTCCCAATCTGGAGCTGTGCCTAAAGCCACGCACACAAGTCTTTCTAGTCCTGTTACACAGAGCATGCACTTGAATACTTCACCTTAGTCTGCAAGCTCCTCCTAGCTGTCTCAAAGTCTCCCTCCAGAAGAGAGATCTACCTTGCTCTTAACCCAGTTTGACTCTTCTCCTTGCACCGTTTAACTGCCATACAAAATTGCTCTCCAGACCAAGGAGATCTCAACAGAGCACTTGCACTTATTGGAGACCCATCTCTGGTCCTGCGCTTGCTGCTGAGCTCTGATTGATGGGGTCAGTCCAGGAAGGCAGCCTTTCAAAGACAGAAAAGGAGAAAATACACTCGAGTAGGCAGCGACCAGGAAGAGGAATTCAAATTTCACATCCTCCATGAGACGTTTGTATTTTCGCTAAATGCAGGGAAAGCAGAGCCTCTCTGAAACCCTGGCTGATCAGGAGACAGGGAGCAATGGTGACCTGGCGGACCTGAAATGTGAATGGAAGGAATGCTTAAACTGAGCTTCAGGCTCTCTCGCCTAGTCACCCTGCAGGAAGCAACCACTGCACGGCTTCTCCCAAGTCTCTTCTCAGGCACCCAAAAGGCAGCAAGTGACAGGACAGCTCAGCATTTTGTTATTTTGCCCTCTTGCTTGTCTTGGTGCTCCGGGCGGCCTCCTCTCCGTTGCTGTGCCCTGACACACAGGTCCATCTCTGAAATGTTCCTCTGGGCCTCCAACTCCAGGCTGTGGAGAGCTCGCGGCTGCTTGCTGACACCCGCTTGCTCTGGCCGTCCCCAGCTCTTTCCTCCATTGGCAAAACAGCTGTCTCCCTGCCCTCGAGGAGGCAATACCATCCAACTCAAAAGGTCACTGCAAAGACTGTTCATCTGCCTCCACTCCGTGGTTGGCTTCTCCATCTTCTCAGACATCAGGATGAGGCTATCCCTGCCCCAGGCTTTGCAGCCTCTCTGTCACTTATCCATCACTTTGGCACTTGCTGTCAAAATCAGCACTCGTCTCCCTCTGGTTAAACTCTCACACCCTCACAGTGCGGCACCTCACGATTAGAAATATTGAGAGTTACCTTGCAAACCTCCTTTTCCTGCAGTACCTTCAGAAGCAGAGAGGTCAGGCTGCTAAGCTGTACAAACGCCATTTGGGAGTTGCTTATAAGCTCCTTGGCTAGAGAGGCACGCGCGTGCATGGTGGTGGAGTCCAACCTAAAGCAATCTCGGTCCTCGACTATAAGGTTAATTATTCTCCGCTTAGAGATATTGGCCCCAACACCAAGAGATGGAGAGAGACGCCTGTCCACAACATTGAGGACCATGTCTTCCCTTGTCCAAGGGAGGCTGGTGCATCCATATCGCCCCGTGCTCCGCCTGGCCTTCCTTGGGCGCCCCAGTGACTCCGTGACAGTAATTGTTATTTCTGTAACGTTTCAAAGTGAAGTGATGGAAACAAAGCCGAAGTTGAACTTCAGCTGTCAGAAGGCTGTTTTTAAGAGCAGCAGCACCGCAGCAGGGCAGGGCAGGGCAGAGGAGACCAAACCTTGCAGAGTCTCAGCCCTGGAGGAAGATTGGTTTTGTACTCGAGGGAATCACGTGGCTAACTCCAAAAGGGAGCACATCAATGTTTATATGATACAAAAACTCAAAAGAGCAGACCACAGGAAACAAAATTGGGGGAGAGCTGAGTAATTGGTCAGTGAAGAGACACTGTCACGTCTGGGACGCTTACTGCCGGGTGGGTAACTCTTAAGAGAATTTGAATGATTTGAAAACTTACTACAGTGACATTACACTTGCATAGCAGAAACGTGTTTAGATGACTGAGTGCCACAGATGGGGAAGCCACAAAATAAGCCACAGAATAACTGAAGTCGGAAGGGACTTCAGAAGTCATCTGATCCAATCCCATGCTCAATCCTCATGCAGGGACAACTTCAAGGTTTGGTCATTGGTCCAGCTGAGGTCTGAATATCTCCATGGATAGAGATCTCCACTTCTCTGCATCAGCGTTTGACTACTCTCATAATATTTACTTGGAATTTCCCACACTACAACTTGTGCCCTTTGCCTCTTATCCTCTCACTATGGACCTCCAAGAAGAGTCTCATTAGACAGGGCAAGACAGCAATCAGACTCCCTTTCTGCCTTTTCTTCTCCAGACTTCATCCTCTGCTCACACATCATGTGCTGCAGAAACAACGAAGAAGAGAAAGAAGGTTTTTTCTGCCTATTTCTAGAGCCCCACTCTCTAGAGTGATTTCTATTGCTCATATAATTCCTCCTTCCTCATCTAAACAGGGAGGAGACATAAAGGAAGAAGGCAAATCCACTTCTCTCCTGCCAATTCACAGAATGAAATAGGAGAAGACTCAATGCAAGGAAGATGGGAGGATCTACAACTACAAAGCCAGGTGCTGAAGCAGACTCACCTGATCAGCCCCACCATACATCCTTCCTGCTCCTTTGTTATGGCGTAATTCTCCAAGAGCTGTCCAATGCTGTGCAGGGCTGCGTCCTCCTTCATTACATATCGATGGTACAGCTTTTTCCAAGGGATGAACTGGAATGCGAAGCACATACACCACCACCTTTCATTTCAGAGCACTGGAAAATAGGTTTCTTCTGGCAATAAGCTAACCAACAAGATAACTTTCAAAGAAGACCCGGAGTTTAAAAAGTCCCTTTTGCTTGATGGAAGCAGGAACCTAGCATGAGGCAGACATGGAAAACAGAGGAAAGAGAGAAAGACTTGGGCCTCATAGCCTGAGAACTTGTCAGTAAGAGGCCTGTTTTTCCAAACTGACGGGAACGGGGTGATGCTGGTTCAGTTTCAAATGTCAAAGCATTGATGGAATGAAGATATTTTGAGCACTATTGCACAGCTCTGCTTTGAGTGGGGTTTGACAACAGAGCGCTTAAAATCCACGCGCCCCTGAAGCCTGCTTACCCTCCCACAGCCTGCTGTGGGACTTCTTTAGCCAGAACTGACGGGGCATTATCTTCTAGGCTGTATCTACATTACAAGGTGAAGAGCAGACTTGAGAGAGGACCAGAGCACACTGAGCATTCGACCTAGGCATTTTCCACACATCTCGCTAGCTGTTCAGTCTCAGAGCATAGCTGGTGTGCTGAGAAAGCAGTCGGTGCAGGACACTTGCTGTATCGTGTCCAGCCTTGCCTGTCCGAATTTCTCAGGTGGGCATGAACAAGAACTTGGACTCCTACAGAAATGCTGGCTGAGATCAGTCTCCCTCTGCTCCAAGTCAGGCCAAGACAGCCTCTTCATACAAGCTGAGGGTTTCCAGTGTGAAATGTGGTCTAGTGGTGGTCAAGTCTAGTGGTGACAGCTGCCCCGAGTCACCTTTAACTGACATGCAGAGATCTTAGCTGCAGCCAAAACAACTGCCAGTGGGTTCACAACTGTTTGTACTGCGAGGGCCTTGGCTGCAGAAGAACCAAGCTCCATAAAAACAGAGATAAAGGCCCAACCACAAAACTTGTTTAACTCCAAGAGACACCACACGCAGACGCACACACATAGGCAAGGCGGATGGCGACACAGAGCAGCCCTGGGAGGACGCTGCCCAGTCTTGTAGCCAGAATTTCCTGCATGATCCCTGGCAGAAAAAAAAAAAAAAAAGGCTAAAAGGAAAACAATGAAGGGGGATTTTGTGGAGTTTTACAGGATGCTCTTTCCATGCGTGGAAAGACTGCAGCAAAGGAAATCACTCCAAAATTTCCTGATACAGGTTGGCATTTGAATAGGTAGGAACGAGGCCGAGAGTATTCCCTGTAGTCCTGAAGGCCAAAACAATGGCAAGAGACCTAACAAGAAAGGATGAGGGCACTAGGGAAACAATAAATGGATTTAAAGGAACCAAGACAGACAGGCACAGCATGGGTGTTCCTAGAGCAACATGTGCAGCCACAAGACTGAGACAGAACAGAGCAGTAAGACAAGGACCAGGCTCAAATCAGTATCACGGCAGTCCTTACCAGTGGATCACTGACAATCTGCCTCCAGGAGTGACACACCAGGCTCAGGCTCTGATACAGGTCAGTCACAGGGAGGAGAGCAAAGATGCTCCTCAGGATTTCGGTGGGCAGCTTATCAATGCTTCCTTGAGGCTCATCCCAGTTCCGAGTGCCCAGGAGTCCATAGCGTGCATCAGGAATTGGTTCGATTTCCATATCATCAAGTTCCTTCTTGATTCGGCTGTGCTCTTGCTTGATTGGGTGGTGCTCTTGCTTGATTCGGCTGTGTGCTGCATGAACCACCAGTGGCTTCTTCTCAGGCTTGCCCCACAGACTGTACTTTGTGTCGTGGCTGCCTGCAACTGTGGTGGACAGCGTCCGTTTTCTGGAGGGGGGGTTTTCCCTGGGAGCTGGTGCAACATCTTCATCCTCTAGAAAGGAGCAGAGATCCTCCATGCTGCTGAAGGATGCATCAACTTCAGTGAAGATCGAATCTGGTAGCTCTTCTTTGATTTCACGGCTCTTTGTCCTGCCTGCACCTACTTGCTGTGTCTGAGAGATCTTGAAGTAATCGGTGATGTTCTTCTGCCGACCTCGGCCTAGAGAAAAAGGAAGAATGTTAGTGAAGTCCACAGAAACAGACGAAAAGTGCAGTGCTCCTAGCTGAGCTAACAGGGACACCGGAGACTGCATAAGGTGGCATTTTTTTCTGCCTGGCTCCTTATCTCATGGATATATGAGCTGGATTACAGGTGAACTGTCCTGCTTCACGGTACCTGTCTAGCAACCTATGGAAGTAAACAGAAAAAAATTCTTCTCCTTGCACTGTCCACATAATCAGGGCATTCTCGGAGCATGTCTGACAGCTCCCTCAGCTTCTAGCAAAAGACGTGCTCTGCATTAATCTGTAGCTCTCTGATTAGCAATCCTCAGCTAACATAACAAAGTGCGTGTGTGTTAAATGTAAACACACCTGCACATTGAACTTGATGGGAGATATTTCCACTAGTTAGAGAAACACAGACAGGAAAGAAACATAAAAATACAAGACTGGAATTATTATGGCATGCCTCGGAGACTGAGGTAGGGCTTTTAGTGGTTATTTACTGTTGTGAACCTGGTGAATGAGAAGCACACAAAGATTTTAGGAAAGCTTCAGGGTTTGGCTACTTGTCTGTATCACGAGAAGGTCACTGCACCAAGCGTTTGCAGGCTGCTCGTACCACAGAATAAGACATACCAATGTTTTTAAAAGATAAACAGTTGTTTCTTGCCAGATGCCTTCGGGCTGCAAGGCAAAAAAACACTGGAGCCCATAAAGGAAAACAAAACTTGCCAACAGTCTGTTCTTCGACAGTCAGCCAGCCTGCCTAGGCCCGCAGACATGCACTGCACTTGCACGCTCATGCAGTCCTTCCAGGTGCCTAAACTTACCAGCGCTGACAGCATTCATTGCATCCTGCTTCTAGTCTGCAACATATCCTGATGGCTTAGCTGAGAGGAAACTCACGAAAAACAGAAAAAAGAAAATTTCACAAGCAACTACTGCTGATTTTAATGTGTTCTGTTTCTGGATGCTCCTGCAGGCACGGCTTAAAGAAGCCTGATTTGCAAGACACTCACTGCTTAAAAAAACGCAGCTCCCTGACTAATGTCCGAGTCCGATACTCTAAAAACCTGGAGCATTGAAGGTTAGTAGATTTTTAAAAGCAAACCTGCCAAAGATACCTGTTCAGAGCTTATGTAAAAAAAGAAAAGTATGCCTGCAAGCACAGAGTCTAGGACTCTGGTGTCTTGGCTCACCAGCAGATCTCTCTGTCCAGCTTACGCCAGGGTACGCAGAGGTTTCCAAGTCAGCCAGGCAGACGCTGTAACACACCTAAGTCTCACTTTCCAGAGTGACCAGAGCACTCAGGAACTCAGGGATAACATTTAAGATAGTTTTTGCTCTGCTTCTCAACTGTCCCCCCTGCATATGTGCGTGTGCATGGGCGTGCGGGATCTCTTGTAGTTAAGCAGGTTTTGAGGATGGGCCTGGAAAGAGCCGTTTCCCCTGAAAGTCACGCCTTGAGCCCTGCTAACTGTCCTGTATAGATCAGCTCAAAGTCTTACCAGTTCTCAAAAGCACTTAAGGAGCCTGAGACTTTGGCACTGTGGAGAACAGCATCCCATCTCTATAAAGTGTGGATCACAATGCTTCCCACTCCCAGCAAAGTCCAAGACCACTAATATCTGCTAAGCGCCGTACGACCGCTTTGCAGCCTTATACAACCAGACAGCTAATTATTATTAAATAAGTGACCTAACGAGCATACAGAAGTAGCTGTCGCATTGTTAATGTCGCCTAATTGCAGGGGCTCTAGTGTTTCTTGGGGAGAACTGCTGTTCCCCGCAGGCCGCCTCCTCCGACAGCACTAAGTACAGCTCAGCTTCTGAAAGCAAGAGAGACCCAGGGGCATTTTTGGTGTGAGGAAAGCCCAAACCAGGCCTGACGGGGATCTCGCTCCCTTGCAAAAGAGGGAAGTATTCATCGTATCCCCTCCTCTCGCAATTTGGCTTCCCAGAGGCAGAGGTTTAAGCCCAGTTAGGCCATGGACCACTCACAACAAACTTCACCTTGCCTGGTCTTGCTTTCTTATCGGCAGATGTCCAACAGCAGACTACACAAAGCCCTTCCGTTCCACGCCGCGAATATCAACGTTTTGCTCTCGCAAACCCCTCACGCTGCAGAGGATTTGCAAACCCTGTACCTCCTGGTTGCTTCTTTGTCCGGTGGGTGGGATAGAGGCCCCTGTTTACGTCTCTGCTCGTTTGTCTTTGGCTCAACGGCTGTGTCAGGGACGACGAACCTTCTCTGCTCCGTGCGATGGCTTCGCAGTCGTCGGCCGTAAGGTGCATTTTTTTGAAGCGCTTCACTGCTTCGCCAACATGCAAAAAAAAAAACCCAACCAAACAAAGAATACTTGTTAGCATCCCTTCAAGCAAGCGGCATTAAACGGTCCGCGTTTTTAGCAGATGTGCCCTTTTAGCAATTTCTTTTCATTAGTTTTACAGGGCAGTCCGAGGGTTTTCACCAGGAGTTTCTCCCAACAGCTCACAGTAGACGTTTTCACAACATGCTGGAGTCGTACTAGGGGAGGGCAATACATTAGCAAAAACGACGCATTTACAGTTTGCAAAATTACTGTAATGGTGCCCTGCAAAGAGTGAACAACGCAATTCGCCACGGGAGGCCGGGAGAGGACAGTGACTTGCGGAAGGAAGGTCAGAGCCAACGTTCAAACTTTCAGGTTTGAGCTGGGTCATTATTACAAACAGACCTGAGTTGGGAAAAGGGCTTTGAGGACAGAAAAGCTTGTGCAGATAGTGTTGACCATATTCCACAGAGGGATACGGTTTGCAAAGCTCCAGAAAATTTATCGCGCGCCGTTAAGGAGAAAATACAACCTGTCCACAGCACAGCTCTTCCCTGTGATAAGAAAGGTTAAGAAGAAAAAACCACCTTTGGAGTTATTTTAAGAAAGCCCTACTGGGAATCTGCAAGAACTCCTCTTTCGTGAGTGGCAGCGGCCATCAGAAATAACGCAAATAACGCAGTTTCCTTCCACGGCAAACGCACGCAAGAGATACGAAACGCCCGCGCAGGAAGGGCTTCCCTCTTCCAGGAGACTTATCTGCAAAATGCCACTCACTCGGCTTCACTTTGTCACTGCAGCACGCCGCGGAGGATAAGCTCCTGTAACGTATTTGTGACGGCCACGGAGCTGATAGAGCACGCAGCAAGCTAGAGGCCAGTTTGCTTCCTGACGCTACTTCTTGCACGTCAGCGCGACCGAGGGGGCGTTAAGGGCCCCCGCGGGGGGTCCCCGGGCAAGCCGGTTTCTAACACACCACCTTCCTCCAAACACTGCAAACCCAGCGCCCCAACTGCCTCGAACGCAAGATCCCGGCAAACGTTGAAGGCGTCAGCTCTGCGTCCGCTCCCCGAGGCCTGGGACGCGGAAAGCTCCCGGCCAGGTTGGAGGCGGGACGGGGAGCAAAGTCCAGCAAGGGCTTCGCTCTTCTCGCCTACCCCAGCTAACTAGCTCGAGCCGGACCGTCAAAGCCGGACGGTCCAAGCCGAGTGTTTTCCAACACGCCGGCTCGGCGCGGGTGGAGGGTGGGCGGA